TAGTTAATTTTCTTAGAGAAGTAAGTGTGGTGCATCCTAAATCTTGTTAGAAGTAATTAAACTGTAAAATACATAGTTAATTTTCTTAGAGAAGTGTGGTGCATCTAAATCTTGTTAGAAGTAATTTATCTAAACTGTAAAATGCACAGTTATTTTCTTAGAGAAATAAGCTTGGTGCATCCCTTCTGATGGCACTGCCAGGAGCCCCAGGCAGTGTCCAGTCCCTTGGCTGACATTTGTCCCATCCTGTCTTGCAGACCCCGTGGCACCCCGCAATGTGTACATGACCAACCAGGGCTACCCCAACAGGCTGAGTGCGTCCTGGAGAGCTGAGCCCCAGGGACAGGAGGGTTACAGGCTCCTCCTGTACCACTCAGGCTCAGGCACTGTGGCAGCCAATGTCTCTGTTGGGAAAGGCACCAGCAAATTCACCTTCTCTGGCCTGGCTCCAGGACACAAATACCTGCTGGAGGTGGTGTCTGTGGCAGGGCCCTACGCAGCCTCAGCAGGGAACATCAGTGACTGGACAAGTAAGTGTCAGAGCTGGACATTCTGCATCCTGCACGAGGCTCAGCCTTCCCAGCTGGGTGGGCTCACAGTGGGAAGGGGCAGAGACTCAGCCTGGGAGCTGCGGGATCAGAGAATGGTTTGGGGTGGAAATGGAAGGGACCTTTTAAAGGCCATCTAGTCCAACCCCCCCTGCTAGTGGCAGGGACATCTTCAGCTAGATCAGGTTGCTCAGAGCTCTGTCTGAGCTGACCTTGGATATTTCTAGGGATGGGATGAGGTGGGGTGGGAGGTACCAATGGGATCATGGGCTGGGCAAGCCTTGGTGGGCAGGAGAGTGGGGCAGGGCAATCCTGCTGCCTGGGGCAGGGCCTGGCAGCCACCAGTGCTATTCCAGGAGGCAGCCCATGGCTCATGGCCCCACTGGCTCCTCCAGGCACTGAACAAGAGCACAGCAGTGCTGCTCTAGTGGATGACACCCACACACCCACAGCCTGGGGGCCATGAGGCCTCACAGCTGGGGGGCACACCCCACCATTCCTGCTGCATTTTTTCCAGGCACTCAGAGAATTGCTGGCATGGGGTATAAGGGGAGGATGGGCTTTTTTTTCTTTTTATGGAATGTGGAAATGCAGATAAGCACAATAAGCCTTTTCATGTGCTTGTCCCCACAGTCCCCATACTTTGCTTGGGGAATCCAGCAGTGCCTGCTCCCACGCTCAGCCGTCCCCTGGCAGGGTGCAGGGAGTCATGTGCAGAGCCCTTTGGGCAGGTTTCTAATGAAACTTGCTAATTAGCAGGAAGAAGAATCCATCTCCTCACACTCCTCACTCTGTGTGTCCTTCAGCTGCCATTTAAAGGTCATTTGTGGCAATGTTATCACTGAACATGTGGAGTCTCATTGTGTCACCCAAGTCCTCCTTGTGTCTCTGTAGAACAGAAGAGAGCACATGCATAGCAGTAACTGCTCCTGATGTGGTTTTTGTTGCAGCCCCCTCAGTTCCCCAGAATCTCTCGGCGGTGGCTGAAGGGAACAGCTCCATGCTCATCTCCTGGGGCAGTGTCCCTGGCCAGCAGGACGAGTGCCAGCTGTGGCTGCGGGACCCCCGGAACAGCTCCCTGCCCTGGAGGCACTCCCTGGCCAGGGGACAAGGCCAGCACCTCCTGCAGGGGCTGATCCCAGGCAGGAACTACTCTGTGTCCTTGAGCTGCGTGGCTGGGCCCTACTGGAGCAGCACCAAGCCCTTGGCAGTGCCCGTGGGTGGGTACACACTGCTATGGGGAGGGAGGGAGGGGGCAGGATGGGAGAGGGGGAAACACCTGGGGGGCCTCAAGTCTGGAGTGTCAACAGAGGCATGGGAGGTGTTGTGGTGGGAGATGGGGAAAGCCAGCAAGGTGACCCTCTGGTGGCCATTGGCTCCCTGAGTTAGCCCCACCACAGAGATCTCCTGGCTCCCTGTGGAGCAGAGCAGGCTTTGCAGATCTCCACTGCCAATGTCTCCTGTCAGATGTGAGCTCATTCCCACTGTCCTGTGGCCAATGGCACAGCAGGATCCCAGGCTGCAGGTGTTCAGCTCTGCTCATCTCACTGGCCTGGGGAGCAGCTGCTGGCAGGGCACAGGTTGGGATTTCTCTGATCCACTGAGTCCAGTCCCTGTCTCCTTTGCAGAGCCAGATCCAGTGAAGGATGTGCAGTGCCTACCAGAGTCAAGGAGCCTTTACTTGAACTGGACGAGCTCTCCTGGAGACGTGGAGGCTTATGAGGTGGTGACAGAGAGACTTTCTGAAGGACCCCCCACCTCCAGGCTCACCATGATCATCCCTTCGAGCGAGGCCAGTCTGGAGGGGCTGGAGCCAAACTCCTCCTACCAAATCCTTGTGAGCACCGTGGGCATGAACACCCTGAGGAGCCAGGCTGTGACTCTGCTCTGCAGCACAGCAGTGGAGCGTGAGTCCCTTCTTTCTGTGACAGTATTCACAGGGGTCTGAGGATGAGGGAAGAGATGAGAATCTGACTTCATGCTTCAGAAGGCTGATGTATTATTTTATGATATATATTACATAAAAACTATACTAAAAGAATAGAAGAAAGGATTTCATCAGAAGGATGAATAGAAAGAAGAATAGAAAGAGAATGTACAGGCAGATTTCATTCTCCCCTCCTTGTCTTGGCAGACCCCTTGGCACCCCACAGTGTGTACATGACAAACCAGGGCTGATCCCCATCTCTTCCTAAGAATAGAAAAAGAAAGAATGATAACAAAGGTTTGTGGCTCAGACAGAGAGTCCAAGCCAGCTGACTGTGATTGGCCATTAATCAGAAACAACCACATGAGACCAATCATAGATGCACCTGTTGCATTCCACAGCAGCAGATAACCATTGGTTACATTTTGTTCCTGAGGCCTCTCAGCTTCTCAGTAGGGAAAAATCTTAAGGAAAGGATTTTCCATAAAAGATGTCTGTGACATCCTTCCACAGGGAAACACCCCAGGAGGAGACACCTGTGTTGCTGGTCAGAGCTGGGGCTCTTTGGGGTGCCTGGGAGCCCCATGGCTTTGCAGTGCTCGGGGCTGCAGTGGATCGGGGCTCTGGCTGTGTGCTGGGACCATCCCAGGCTGAGCAGAGGGGTCTGGGAGCAGGGACACCCTGACTCTCTGTGCCTGCTGGTTGTTCTTGCAGCTCTGCCCCCTCCCCTGCGTGCAGAGGTGTTCCCAGTGGAGGCCAGCTCCACAGTGATCATCTCCCCCGAGCTGTTCAGCGAGGAGAACGGCCAGATCGAGTACTACGGTGTCATTGCCACCACCAATGACTCCCGTAAGTGTCCCTGCAGGTCCAGGCTGTGCTGGCTCCCTGGAGGGCAGCAGGAGCCCTGGATGTCCCTTTGGTCACTGTCACCTTGCACATTCCCCTGCAGTGCTGAGGCCCACGCAGGAGATCATGTCCAGCACATGGTACGATCACTACTATGGCACAGAGGACTCCTACCTGGCAGTGCTCCTTCCCAACCCCTTCCATCAGAGGAGCTCCCCCAACACCTGGAGGGTGCCTGTGGGGACAGAGGAGTGTGGCCACTCCAGGGCCACCTGCAATGGGAAGCTGAAAGCCAACGAGCAGTACAGGTGAGAGATGTCAGCATCCCTCCTGAGGGGAAGGGGCTGGAGGAGAAAAAGGACTGCATGTGTCCCTGCAGGAATGCCAGCAGCTCCCTGGATGTCACCTCAGCCTCACACCCCCAAATCCCCAAGGGTTTTCCACCCAGCAGCATTTGAGGAAGGCAGGGTTGGCATGCAGGGAATATTAGGCAGTGCAGTTGGCAGGGAGAGGGAAAGCTGAGGCTGCCAAGGGCTGTGTGTGTTGTCTCAGGAGCTGAGCAGATGTCCAGCCTCAGAATAGGAACTAAACCAGATGCTGTAATTTGTAGGACCTTAATTTGTGACTCATAACCATATGCAGACAGTGCAAAAATGAAACTGATTTGGAAACAGTTCCAGTGGTGCCTACTCAGTGTGAGGTCCAGAGTTGGGGTTAGCAAACACTCAGGCTGAGGTCTGAGTTCCCCATGAGACACACACATGGATCCAACAGTCATGAGTTCAGAGTCTTATTTGACAGTGAATAGGATCCTACATATTTTCTTGTAGGGTACCTTTAAAACTGCTGATGGAAAACCAGGTTTTCCACTGCTAACAAAGAATGGTATCTTTAGTCAGGTATGTTAATTTAGCAACTCGCAGTTTCATCAAATGGGGACCACATCCACAGGCATTTCTGTGATCCCCCAGTCTGGAATGTTGTCCCATTTCACTTTAAAGAAACTGGCAGCAAGTTTGGTTGATGATGATAAAACCATTGAGAGCATTAGGAAAAGAGAATGAGAGTCCATGGGAGAGTGCCTGCCTTCCTTCCTTCCTTCCTTCCTTCCTTCCTTCCTTCCTTCCTTCCTTCCTTCCTTCATATAAATATATTTAATATTTATATAATATTTATTTCATATAACATTTAATATTATTTATTTAATATTATATTTATTAAATATGATATTTTATATTGTACATGTGTGCCTAAAAGGGTCTCTTCAGCTGCTGGTTAGGGCAGCACTGGCTCAGATTGGTGATAACACCCAGGGGGTGGGAAATGGCTGTTTTTCCTAAGGGGAAAAAAAAGGGAGTTTCCAGAGAGCCATTGCCTGGGAAATTCCAGGCAGAGTGGGGTCATGGGGAGCAGAGAGCAGTTCTGTGTGCTGTGGGATCCTGCCTGGCAGGAGAATGATGACAGTGCACTCTCATCCTGTGTCCATCCAGCAGGGACCTCCCTCAGGGGAGCAGCTTTTTAGGGACACCAGGCCCTGTCATTAATCCACCTGTCATGATTCCATCCCATGAGTCACCAACATGTACTGAACTGTCCAGTTATTCAGGACTAGAAGGTACTTTGACACCACAGCTTTCTTACTTTTACACCACTGCCTTCTTTCAGTTTGGCTGCCCTAAAAACATAAATGTTCTCAGCACAAACAGCATTGACCTAAATATCCTAAATATCTGACCTAAATATCTTAAATATCCAGCCTAAATATCCTCAGTACATGGAACACTCAGCCTAAATATCCGACCTAAATATCCACAGTAGACTGTGCTGCTGGATTAATGATTATTAGGGTGGTGAAAAGCTGGCAACTCATTCCCACTCAGAATTTCTGTTCTTGTTTCCTGTCTTTCAGTGAGTTATTTATCCACAAGCCCTCATCTTTCATGTCTTGGCATCTGCAGGCTCATTTTCAGGGGAGCTCTGTGCCCTGACAGCCAGGTATGGGGATGCACACACAGGCAACAAACCCTTGGCTGCTAAAATCCAGTGCTGCCTTTAAAAGCTCTGGTTTGCATTTAGGGCACAAGAAAGGCCCTTCCAGGTCACTGCTCAGAAGGAAAGTCAGGGAGCTGTGGGCATTGGTGTGCCTGCTGCCAGGAGGGGATGGAGGGGCAGACCTGCACAGGGAAGAGGATGCACAAGCCACTTGTGTGTGTGTCTTGGTTTGGAAAGACAGGAGTCTGCCAAGGAAGGCAGGAGCCTCCCCTGAAATGGAGAATGTAAACCCTCCCCACCCGTCTGAATTGCTATAAATTTTATATTAAGGGGCTCTCAGGCAAAAATATGGCAGCAGTAAATAACAGTTCTTTAATAGGGAAGAAAATAAAAGGATAAAATAAACAATGCAGTACACTAGAACAACACTGACAGAGTCAGAACCCAGCCTGACACCCTGTGGGTCAGGCTGTTGGCAGCAGTCCCATTGGAATTGTGGCTCAGCCCTCCTGCAGTGTCAGGGCTGGTTCTGCTGGAGCAGGGATCCTGGAGAAAGGTGCAGTCTCTTCCTCTGAAGATCCAGTGGAAGAAGAGTCAGCTGCTGTTCCTCTGGGAATCCAGTGCAGAAGCTGTGCTGGTGTTCCAGAATCTCCAGATTATATCTGGGTAGGAATGCTTGACTCCTCCCTCTGGGCTCACATCTCCCAATGGGATGCTGTAGTTCTTATCAGCCATGCAGGGACATTCAATAGCTGTTATCAGCAGATGTCCCCTCCCAAGGGAGGAGTGATTGTGGTCACTCAGAGAGAGAGAGATAAGGCAAACTGCCCACTTGACAGAAGATAATCTGCCATACAGATGGCAACAGAAAACATCTTGCATTGCAATCTGGAACAGTGTGTGTGCAAGGAGGGGTCTGGGCAGGTCTGGCCCTGTCAGGATCTCTCGCTGGTCACAGTGACCCCAAGAAAAGTTGGAAAGTCTCTTTTCTCAGCCTGGTGCTTGAAGAAAGAGTCAGAGCTCTTAATCTCTCGGTCTTGTTTATTGTATCTTATCTATAAAATTCTTTCTCCTGCCCTGCCCAGGTCCATCCAGCAGGACAGTTCCAGGCCCTCTGCCTGCCCCCAGGGCAGTGTTATGTCTTTATACTAAAAACTACATGTACAATATTTATAATTACTTCCCAATACCTATCACCTACGTTAGACAGTGAGCTTCTACTCTAAACCAATCTGTAAGTGCCAACATCACAGCAGAAGATGGAGGCCAAGAAGAAGAAGAAGGAGAAAGGCTGGACATGCCCAGATTCCTCCATCTTTCCCCCCTGAATTCCCATTTTAAAAACCCCAAAATCTACTTTTGCACCTTGTGTTAAATTCACTATCATTCTACTGAATTTTTCATGGCTTGCAGATTTTCATCTAAGGTTGGTAACTTGCTCCAGGGGTCATAATCAAAACCACAGGGGCATTTTGGGTTCTGTGCCAGGGTCTCTGAGCCCCCTGGCAGGGGTCTGGGCTGCTCAGGACGGACAGAGGGATATCCTGGGTCCTGACATGACCCTTCCAGCTGAAATGTCAAACAGGGCTCAGCTCTTCCCTGTCAGCCCTGCTAACCAGATTACATGAATGATGTGGTTTTAATTTTTTGTGTCCTGTAAGTGACCAGACTCTACCTTTCTCTGCTGATAACCATTTGGAGGAGAGCTGCTTCCCATTGGTGCTTTCTGAACCATTTCTCATGCTTTCCCAAGTGGAACAAACTGGTCCAAGAGGCAGAAAAGGGAGGGAAGACCTTTTCCACACATTCCCTAAATCCATAACAGAAAGCTAGCTTTATCCAGGCAGCAGTTCTGTCCCCCTGGGTGCTGAGTTCTGGCTGCTGTGCTCAGCTCAGGCTGTCCTGACTCAGGACTCTGCTTTGCCTTTAGGTTCAGCATTGCTGCCTTCACCAAATATGACCCAGTGGCCCCTGCTGTGACATTCACCATGTTCTCAGGTAAGCTGGAGAGCAGCATCTTCCCCACCTGGCTGTGCAGGTTAGAGGTAAAGAGCACCAGAGGGAGCTCATAGGCTATAGTAAATATAATAAATATAATAAATGCAGCCATTTATCATAGAATTATAAAATGGTTTGGGTTGGGACTTAAAGCTCATATGGTTCCATGGGCAAGGACACCTTCCATTATCCCAGGCTGCTCCAAGCCCTGTCCAACCTGATCTTGGACACTTCCAGGGATCCAGGGGCAGCCACAGCTGCTCTGGAAATCTGTCCCAGGGCCTCACAACCCTCATCATAAAAAACATTTTTACTGATTCTTCTCTCTGTACTCTCTCCTTTCAATTCCAGCTGCTGGATCCAGTGCAGACACAGCTCCACTCTCAATGCCAATAATTGCTGGAATCATTGTGGGGTTTCTTCTGACACTTGCAGCTGTTTTTGCTTTGGTTTACTGGAAACAGCTCAAAGCAAGGAGGTGAGCATGAGCCATATCTTACGTGTTAATGCCCAACCTTCAGTGCCAAGCCTGGAGGAGAGCAGGGAGAGGGTGTAAAGAGAGACTTGGACAAACTAGCACATGGGCTGGTGGAATTGTGCCTGGCAAGCTCAGAATCCAAAGGAAGAGGGGACAGAGGAGCTGCCCATGTGCAGTTAGGTCACAAAATCCTAAAATGTGCCTGCCAGTGGTACACAGTACCTCAAGGCATCAATGTCTGCACTGCAGGCAAAGTAACAGCTCCTGTGTGTAGCCACAGCTCTCTTCACAGAGAGCAGCAGGCCCAAGTTTTTAAGGATTTTTCTCTGAGAAAGGTAATGAGAAGCACAAAGAAGAAGAGAAAACAATTCTTATCTTTATTTGCTGTTTTTGTTGTTTTGGATGTGTCGATATGTGGAATGTGCCTTAGAGATTATTTACTCAAAGTAATTTGTTAATTAGACACTAGTGAAAGTTACTTAAATTCCTTGACAAATTAAATCTATGTGTCGTGACTGTCTGGAGATAGTCACAGGTTTTTCTTTAGTATTTCTTTATTCATTATTCTTTATTTCAATTCATGTTGTAAATTGTAGGATAGATCATGATACGAACAGTGCAATGGGGAAGAAGGTAAGGGAGTAGAAGTCTATTTTTAGGCAGATGGGGATTTTGAAGTTTATAATGAATTTTCATTCTCAGAAGGAGGTGAGGCTTTCCGTTCTGGAGTGGATGTAGATTGCTATTGGGATTAGGCTGATTAAGAAGAAGATTTTGTGTTTGTAATTGTGTTGAGGGTAATATTCTTCAGTATAATATCTCTTTAATATTTAATTTAGTATAGTATTAGTGTAATATAGAATAGCTTAATAAAGCAATTATTCATCCTTCTAAATCATAGAGTAAGAACACATTATTCCCTAACTCTGTGCTTTGATTCCAGAACCAAGAAGAGCAGCCCACCCCAGGAGATGGTGACCTACAGCCTGAGGTGGGTGCTGGAGTCTGCCCTCTGTTTGGCCCCACTGCAGCTCCCACTGGCCTTTACCTACTTCCTTTTTCAAGCTTTGACTCAGGAAAAGTCAAACTGTCTCCTCCCCTCAGTTATTTTATACATCAGCCTTTCCCAAGGTCAGTATTTACTGCCCAGCTCCGCTCCAAGTCCATGCATTGTCCAGGCCTCCCCTGTGAGTTCCTGCAGCAGAATATTCTCATCACCTTGAAATCCCTCCAGTATTTAACTGTTGGACCTTCCCTGGGCAGTGAGGTGGCTGTGAACCCTCCCTGTGTGCATCCAGGTGTCCCAGCAGGGCTGTCCCAGTGGCCCCTGAGGCTGCCCAGGCCTCCCAGTAACTAAGGCAAGCTTTCCTCTGGATTTCATTTCCTGCAGGAACGTCCACCGGCCAGTGCCCCTGCAGAACTTCAAGCAGTACTATGAGATGAAGACAGCAAATGCTAATCATGCTTTTTTCCAGGAGTTTGAGGTGAGATGAGACCCTCCTTGTGCTGGTGATTGTGGGTCCCTGTCGCCATGATATTTTCTGAAAAATCCCTTTGCCAAGATTTTTGTCCTGAGAAGCTGAGAAACCTCAGAGGAAAAGAAAAACAGTAATTATCTGCTGCTGTGGAATGCAACAAGTACATCTTTAAT